CCCAAAAAACAGACCAAAATTTAGCTAATATCCAATTATGCAGACTTTACATATTAAAAAAGGTGTCTGCTTACCTTATTCTTGTCAAACCGGTTCCAAGGACTGTCCGAGAGGTCTGCCAACTCTTTTCCGCGTCGGAATATTCAATTTAAAAAACAAAACAGAGAAAGTGAGGGAGCAAGAGCAAGCCCATCCAAAAGCGAGCCCTTTCAGCGTCCGCTGGGATTTCTCCCCTTCCAGATAACGTGCTGTCGCTCCCACACGCCGAAAAAAAGAAACAGAGGAAATTCTCTCAAAACAATCCAGAGAATGGCACAAACCGAGCCGCGCATTCTCCACCAAATCTGTAAGGATTTAGCAGACAGAGACGGATCGTGGTGTGCCAAACTCTGGAAGTTTATTTAAGTTTCTCTCAAGTTCCACTGGTTTCCTCTGTTTCTTCCTCTCAGACAGAATAAAGGCAGTACACAGTTTATATAGTCATTGTCACGTCACACATCGAAAGACATACGTGTCACAAAGAGACAGTCACATCATAGTCATAACATGGAGTCCTTGTGGAGTCCTTGTACAGTCCTGCACGTAGGCCATATTGCTATCTAATACTAACAAGTTCAGAGTTGTAATTTTTTAATTACCTATGTGTGAGCATAAAGCTGTGTGTGTGTGTGTTTTAATAAAGCTTTCTTTGTATGAACATATTCCTGGAAAATTTTCATTTCTTCTATAAATAATACGAATATTTATATAAATATTATTACATTAATTATGAGGCAGGGTGACCAATAGTGACAGATCTGCCAGCCCAGGGGTGCTCACACTTTTTCAGCAGTGAGCTACTTATAAAAGGATCAAGTCAAAATGATCTACCTACTACAAAAATGCAAATCATATATTTCAAAAAATATTCTTTATACCTACAATGTATGTTTATGTACATGCAAAACAGCATGAGCCAATATAGCACAACACAACACAATTACCTATGTACATTTTTTGTCATTACCCGAGTTTACTGTGATGACTTTCACTGAATTGAATCAGCCAGGGATGCATAGTCCGGAAAATTGGTGGTAACTCGCTGACAAGTTTGTCGTGGTTGAGCTTTCCTGCACTGAGCGCGGTTGTTTGCGCATGTGCAGTCCCCTAAGTGTCAGTAAAACATTACTGAGTAAAACACAGATGTCATTTGACTGTGGTGCCATGTCCATGTGCCATGCCTGTTTTTTTTAAAATCCAAATATTTCCCCTCCTCCGTTTATAAAATAATTTGCATCCACACATCTGCGTTATCGATCACGTTCGTAACATTCCAAACATGTGCGTCTCTCACGTCCTGTCCTGCGTTGGGGAAAAACACAGAAGTGGGCGGAGTTCTGATGCAGACGCCGGTAACGGCACTTTTACAGTCATAGAAGACACTCAGAGTAAAGACGTATGTTTACAAGCACTGACCCCGTCCTCAGCCCTGGTTTAGCCCTGGTTTAGTCCTGGTTTAGTCCTGGTTTGGTTGTTTTTGAGCGTGAGTCCCCGCGATCACTTTGCTGCTCTCTGATGTGGAGGATGTTCGCTGCTGCGAGCATCTCACAGCGAACAGTTTTTAAGGTAGTATGATCCATGCTTGAGTGATCAGAGGAATTTAGGGGGGTACTGTGGCGTGCGAGAACGCAAAACTCCGGTTATCTCTGTCTACACACAAATGCATTAACAGAGTTTTCAAAAATCTCCACTTTGCCCGGAGTTTTTTGTATATATTCGTTTAGAATGTGTAATTTTTATTTATTTAATGCGATCTACCAATACTACCTTTGCGATCGACTGGTAGATCGCGATCGACGTATTGAGCACCCCTGTGCCAGCCAATCACGAGAGATTATACTTATTTGAAAGTAGTGATTTCATCCAATGGGGAGTAAGCTACCAATGGGGAGTAATCCCACGTGGGCTGGCCACGTGTGATTTTTCAGCCAATCACGAGTTTGAAAGTACACTGTAAACCCTGACAAGTAAAGTTTACTTGAAAAAACCATGGAAATAAATTGCGTATTAACTTCACTTGAATTCCTCGAGTACACCCTTTACTTGATATTACCAAGTAAACTCAAGTGATTGCAATAAAGTTTAAATTTCTACCTACGTACTCAGAACCCTGTAGTTGAGAGGTAATGGTGCTCAGCCACCATACCCACTCAGCCACCAGGACACCCTGCCATTGTCACACCTGCCTCATTAAAGAGTCTACACGTCAAAATGTCAAAAGTGAGGCTTACTTGAACAGAAACAGTTCAATTCAAAGAAAACCCTGAGTGACATAGGCAAGCTTTAAATAAACTAACAATAAATGAGTAATATCTACTTACTGGGAAAAATCTCTTTAAAATAACTTTGATATCTGAAGTAGGATTGAAGTTAGGGTTTACAGTGTAGTGGTATCCGCCAATGCTGCTGCATTCATATGCTAAGTAGGGCCATTAGCGCTCGGCCGGCCGCAGTGTTTCGCTGCATTCATATGCAAAGTAGGGACATTAGCATGGTACGGATACGGCAGTTTGGAGGACAGGGCACCCTAACTGCGCCTTTTGAAAACTGCCTGAGATACCCGAAAAAGAGCGTGATTTCCTGCAGTTTAGGGTGACGAAAATCTAACTTTTCATGCAGTGCCAGGTTTATGATCCAGGTTTATAATGAAGGTTTAGATCCAAGTTTAGATCCAGGTTCTGATCCATGTGTGACAGGTCTGGACAGAACTGGGTCAGGAAGTCTGAAAAATGTCCAATTATAGAAAGGACAGAAAAGTGCTGACGGGAGAATCTATTTGAGTAAGTAAGTAAGTAAGTAAGTTTTTATTTATATACCGCCTTTTCACTGCAGATCTGAGTCTCAAAGCGGTTTACAATTGTTAATTTTGGGCATTTGTCTCTCACTTCACACAGAGATGGGAGCGGGGCCAGTACAGGAGGCGCATGCCAGAACTATTGGACATATTTTTAGTGGTAGGGGAAACCGGAGTACCCGGAGGAAACCTACGCAGACACAGGGAGAACATGCAAACTCCACTCAGAAAGGCCCTGGTCCGACCGGGATTCGAACCAGGACCTTCTTGCTGAGAGGCGAGAGTGCTATCCACTCAGCCACCGTGCCGCCCAAGTCCTGGTTCAGACCTAGTTCAGACTTGGTTTAGTCCTGTTCAGACCTGGCTCAGACCTGGCTCAGTCCTGGCTCAGTCCTGGCTCAGTCCTGGCTCAGACCTGGCTCAGACCTGGCTCAGACCTGGCTCAGACCTGGCTCAGACCTGGCTCAGACCTGGCTCAGACCTGGCTCAGACCTGGCTCAGACCTGGCTCAGACCTGGCTCAGACCTGGCTCAGACCTGGCTCAGACCTGGCTCAGACCTGGTTCAGACCTGGCTCAGACCTGGCTCAGACCTGGCTCAGACCTGGCTCAGACCTGGTTCAGACCTGGTTCAGACCTGGTTCAGACCTGGTTCAGGATCTCTCAGTATAAAATGCGTCAAACTTGCTTTGGTGTGTCGTGGGAGTCTTTGGAGCAAAGCGGTCCATGCAGCAGGTTATCTCCGGGTGCTACGGTTCAAAAACATCAAAAATTCATAAAAAGGTACAAGAGGAGACATGCTCGTTCTACAGCGAGGACCAGAGACCAGCTGGACATGCATAGACACAGAGACACCTGGTGGACAGGTGGAGCTACTGCAGTTAAAGCTGGGGTATCCGACTTTTGTTTCATAAATAACACATGAAGTTTGTCCGACAGAGTTTGGTAAAGACACAGGCTTCATCTCATTAGGAAACAAGTCCCTGTGGGCCACTATTTGACTCACAGGGACTTGGTAGAGAGTTAGTAAAACATGAGTTACCTGGTCCCTCTCTCTGGTCTTTCTCTCTGGTCTCTCTCTCTCTGGTCTCTCTCTTTGGTCTCTCTCTTTGGTCTCTCTCTGGTCTCTCTCTCTGGTCCCTCTCTGGTCTCTCTCTCTTGTCTCTCTCTTTGGTCTCTCTCTTTGGTCTCTCTCTGGTCTATTTGCTCTCTCTCTTTGGTCTCTCTCGCTGGTCTCTCTCTCGCTGATCTCTCTCTCGCTGATCTCTCTCTCTGGTCTCTCTCTCTCTGGTCTCTATCGCTGGTCTCTCTCGCTGGTCTCTCTCTCGCTGGTCTCTCTCTCGCTGATCTCTCTCTCGCTGATCTCTCTCTCTGGTCTCTCTCTCTCTGGTCTCTATCGCTGGTCTCTCTTGCTGGTCTCTCTCCCTGGTCTTTCTCTCTGTGGTCTCTCTCTCTCTGGTCTCTCTCCAGTCTCTCTCTGTTCTCTCTCTCTCTGGTCTCTCTCTATGCTCTCACTCTCTCTCTCTCTTTCTGAGGATTTTACAGCCTTCTTACCTACAGCTGCTACTGAGAGGATGTATCTTATTGTGTGTCATGTTTACAACACGTCACCCCTGTCTGAAAGTCACGTACCCCAGCTTTAACTCTGTACAATCAGAGTCTTGTGATCAGAGAGACATGTGACCTGAAGAGCCAGTGCAAAAAGTGAAGAGGAAGAGTCCATAAGGTTCTCATGGCTCCTCCCCCCCCTGACAGCGGAGTCCTTAAGGTTCTCACCTTCCCCAAATGCCCAGACACTAGAGTTTTATAAGAGACGAGAAAGATTACTTACTACTACTTACAGCAACTTGTACAACTGTTACTCATGTGGGACTGAGGCTGTAGATCCAGGACCGATGGCTTCTGTGTGTTTGTTATTATTGTGTCTGATTCTCTGATCTGCTGTTGGTGAATCAACAACTCCTCTGAGGCGACTGCTGATGTGATTTAGGGCCATACACAAATACCTCAGATTAAATATCATTTCAAACCAATTGTTTTGATGCCAATACTTAGTTATGTGGATGTTCAAACTGTCATGCCCTGACTGCAGCTCACAGCCCCTCCCCCCTGTGTGCCTCATAGCCCCCCCCCCCTTGTGTTCCTCATAGCCCCTCCTCTCTGTGTGCCTCATAGCCCCTCCCCCCTGTGTGCCTCATAGCCCCTCCCCCTGTGTGCATCAGGAGTCACCGGTCTGGACACGGTGAAGATGTCCTGCTTCTCGCTCCCCCTGCCTGCTGCCCCTGGTACTGCGGCCTGGTCCTCTCTCTCTCCTTCTCGCCGCTCGTCAGACAGCAGCTGTATGATCATCTGCACCTGTGTCTCCAGCCGCCGCAGCCGACCTCCCAGCGCCTGTATGTCGGTGCGCAGCTGCAGCCGCGTCTCGTCCAGCGCCTCCTTCACCGTCTCCGTCTCGTCGATGCGCTGCTCGCTCTTGGTGATGCCGCTGTCGCACGAGTCAGTCTTTCGCAGATTTTTGCCGTCCGCCTCCTTGTTCGGCGCCGATGCTGATGGCGCTAACATCTCCGCGGACGCCGCCTTCTGATTGGTCAGAGGCGAGTCTCGCCGCGCTCCGTCTGCCGCACTGCCTTTGAGACGCATCCAGGCGCTGGGGGCTTTCGCTGGTTTAGATAAAGTCTGGATCACCGCCTCACTGTTGCTTTCTGCGGCTTTGTGTTTGTCGCTCTCTCTCTGTTTGTCGCTCTCTCTCTTGTTGGTTTCGCGTTTGCCAGTTTCTCTCAGTTTCTCTGGTTCTCTCTCGTCCTCTTGGAGCTTGTCTCTGTTGTCGGCGCTGTACTCTTGCATGGGGGTGATCTGCGACACGGTGAGGATGTTGCTGGTGCCGTTCTGGAAGGATGTGCTCAGGGGGAGAGAGTGCTGTGAGCTGGAGTGACCAAGCTGCTGCAGGTTCTGGGTCTGGTGAGTCTCTGCGTCTGTGTAGCCGCCGTTGTTGCCGTTGTGCCGCGGCTTGAACTTGTGGAGGAGTCTGCGCACAGGGTGGTCCTGCGGGATGCTGAGCTGCACCTCGTTCTTGGCGCGCTCTCGCTCCTCCTCCTCCTTTTGCAAGTCGCTGATTTTACGGAAAATCACCTGCAGCAGAAGGACACGGTACAGATAGAGTACAGAAGCGGCTTAAAGCTGGGGTACCTGACTGCTTTGGTAAAGTCTTGTAAACACAAGTTGTGAACAAATCAGACCGTCTGAGTGGCCCCACCCACAGCAGAGGACACACTCTAGACCTGATAATCACTAAGGGTTAATATCTCAAAAGTAAATGAATCGATGGTCGATTTTGCTGTCGGATCATGTGTTTCAGTAGTAAACCACCAGCGGACCCCTGTTCAGCTCCATTAGAACGGATAGTGGAGTTGTTGGATTTTCATTAAAGTGAATGAATTTATTCAAAGTTTAGACAGCTTTGGGTTAACCTATGGGTGTGGTGGGATGCAGCATTCTCCCATCCCCCAGTCATGAGTGAAACTAGTTTTAATAATAAGCAGGAAGCCGAAGACATCTGGTTTTAGTAGATCTCATGTTTATTTAGAGGGAAGCCACGTCTTCTCTGAGGGAGAGGAAGGTGGGACATATTGTTGCATGTCCATCCATCCATTTTCTTCCGCTTTATCCGTTGTCGGGTCGCGGGGGCAGCAGTCTAAGCAGAGACGCCCAGACTTCCCTATCCACACACACTTCCTCCAGCTCGTCCGGGGGGACCCCAAGGCGTTCCCAGGCCAGCTGAGAGACATAGTCCCTCCAGCGTGTCCTAGGTCTTCCGCGGGGCCGCCTCCCGGTGGGACGTGCCCGGAACACCTCCCCAGGGAGGCGTCCAGGAGGCATCCGGAACAGATGCCCGAGCCACCTCAACTGGTTCCTCTCGACGTGGAGAAGCAGTGGCTCTACTCCGAGCTCCTCCCGTGTGACTGAGCTCCTCACCCTATCTCTAAGGGAGCGCCCAGCCACTCTGCGGAGGAAGCTCATTTCGACCGCTTGTATCCGCGATCTCGTTCTTTCGGTCATTACCCAAAGCTCATGACCATAGGTGAGGGAGGGAACGAAGATTGACCGGTAAATCGAGAGCTTTGCCTTTCGGCTCAGCTCCCTCTTTACCACAACGGTCCGATACAGCGACCGCATCACTGCGCACGCTGCACCGATCCGCCTGTCAATCTCACGCTCCATTCTTCCCTCACTCGTGAACAAGACCCCGAGATACTTGAACTCCTCCACTTGAGGAAGGACCTCTCCACCCACCTGCAGAGGGCAAGGCACCTTTTTCCGGTCGAGCACCATGGCCTCAGATTTGGAGGTGCTGATTCTCATCCCAGCCGCTTCACACTCGGCTGCAAACCGCCCCAGTGCATGTTGCAGGTCCTGGTTCGTTGGAGCCAACAGGACAACATCGTCCGCAAACAGCAGAGATGAAATCCTGTGGTCTCCGAACCGGACCCCCTCCGACCCCTGGCTGCGCCTAGATATTCTGTCCATAAATACAGTGAACAGAACCGGTGACAAAGGGCAGCCCTGTCGGAGGCCAACATTCACCGGGAACAGGTCTGACTTACTGCCGGCAATGCGAACACAGCTCTGGCTCCGGTCATACAGGGATCGAATGGCCCTCAGCAGAGGACCCCCGACCCCGTACTCCCGGAGAACCCCCCAAAGGACACCCCGGGGAACACAGTCGAACGCCTTCTCCAAATCCACAAAACACATGTGGACAGGTTGGGCGAACTCCCATGAACCCTCGAGTATCCGATGGAGAGTATAGAGCTGGTCCAGTGTTCCGCGACCGGGACGAAAACCACACTGCTCCTCCTGGATCCGAGATTCGACCATCGGCCGTAACCTCCTCTCCAGTACCCTGGAGTAGACCTTACCGGGGAGGCTGAGGAGTGTGATCCCACGATAATTGGAACACACCCTCCGGTCCCCCTTCTTGTAGAGAGGGACCACCACCCCGGTCTGCCACTCCATTGGCACTGCCCCCGATCGCCACGCGATGTTGCAGAGACGTGTCAGCCAAGACAGTCCTACAACATCCAGAGACTTTAGATAATCAGGGCGGATCTCATCCACACCCGGAGCCTTGCCACCATGGAGGCTACCAACCACCTTGGTGACCTCAGCCAGGGAGATAGATGTATCCGCCCCAACATCCTCAGCCTCTGCCTCTGTAACAGAGGACGTGACGGGGGGATTGAGGAGAACCTCAAAGTATTCCTTCCACCGCCCGACAATATCCCCAGTCGAGGTCAGCAGCTCTCCACCCGCACCGTACATGGTGTTGGCAAAGAACTGCTTCCCCCTCCTGAGGCGCCGGATGGTTTGCCAGAATCTCTTCGAGGCCGACCGATAGTCATGCTCCATGGACTCTCCGAACTCCTCCCAGTCCCGGGTTTTTGCCTCTGCAACAGCCCGGGCCACGGCACGCTTGGCCTGCCGGTACTGGACAGCTGCCTCAGGAGTCCCCCGAACCATCATGGCTCGATAGGACTCCTTCTTCAGCCTGACAGCATCCCTTACTGCCGGTGTCCACCACCGGGTTCGGGGGTTGCCGCCGGGACCAGCACCAGAGACCTTGCAACCACAGCTACGAGCCGCCGCATCGGCGATTGAGGCAGAGAACATGGTCCACTCGGACTCCATGTCTCCCTCCTCCGCCGGGACCTGGGAGAAACTCTCCCGGAGGTGCGAGTTGAAAGTCCGTCTGACAGGGGGCTCAGCGAGACGTTCCCAGCAGACCCTCACTATACGCTTGGGTCTGCCAGGTCTGACCGGCTTCTTCCCCTGCCAGCGGATCCAACTCACGACCAGGTGATGATCGGTTGACAGCTCCGCCCCTCTCTTTACCCGAGTGTCCGAGACACGCGGTCGAAGGTCAGATGATACGACAACAAAGTCGATCATCGACCTCCGGCCTAGGGTGTCCTGGTGCCACGTGCACTGGTGGACACCCTTGTGCTCGAACATGGTGTTCGTGATGGACAAACTGTGACTGGCACAGAAGTCCAACAACTGAACACCGCTCGGGTTCAAATCAGGGGGGCCGTTCTTTCCGATCACCCCTCTCCAAGTGTCACTGGCGCCTCCCACATGGGCGTTGAAGTCCCCCAGGAGAATGACGGAGTCCCCGGGCGGTGCACCGTCCAGTACCCCTCCCAAGGACTCCAAGAAGGCCGGGTACTCTGCACTGCTGTTAGGCCCGTAGGCCGTCACAACAATGAGAGACTTGTCCCCCACCCGGAGGCGGAGGGACGCGACCCTCTCATTCACCGGGGAGAACTCCAACACATGGCGGCTGAGATGGGGGGCAATGAGAATGGCCACCCCAGCTCGCCGCCTCTCCCCGCGGGAAACTCCAGAAAAGTGGAGCGTCCAACCCCTCTCAAGGAGTTGGGTTCCAGAGCCCAAGATGTGTGTGGAGGTGAGGCCGACTATCTCTAGTCGGTATCGCTCAACCTCCCCCACGAGCTCGGGCTCCTTCCCCCCCAGTGAGGTGACGTTCCACGTCCCAAGAGCCAGATGTTGTGTGTGCGGACTGGGTCGCCGAGGTCTCCGCCTTCGACTGCCGCCCAGTCCTCTCAGCACCGCGCCACCACGGACCCCTCTGCAGGTGGTGGGCCCACAGGAGGGACTGCCCACGTCATCCCTTCGGGCTGAGCCCGGCCGGGCCCCGTGGGCTAAGGCCCGGCCACCAGGCGCTCGCATACGAGCCCCGACCCCAGGCCTGGCTCCAGGGTGGGGCCCCGGCTGCGCCATGCCGGGCGACGTCACTGCTCTCGTTATAGTGCGATCCATGGTGGTTTTTGGACTGCGCTTCGTCTGACTCGTCACCTGAGACCTGTCTGCCATGGGAGGCCCTACCAGGGGCATGAAGCCCCAGACAGCATAGCTCCCAGGATCATCCGAGTACTCAAACTCCCCCACCACGTTAAGGTGGCAGTCCAGGGGGGAGATTGTTGCATGTGTTTCAAATTATCATGGTATAAGACCAGAGCTCCTTGTCCATTCTTGGTCTTTTGCTTTTACATCTGCCGAGACCCAGACTGTAGTCTGTATCATGTCTGTGTGGTGATGTCCAGACAACTGTAGTTTGAACTAGCGCTGACAACATGTATTAAAGAGATTATGTTGTTCAAATGTGACTAGTTTTATCACAAGAACTACCTTCCATTGGAGCTAACTTCAATAGAGCTAGCTTCATAAGAGCTAATTTCCATTAGAGTTAACTTACAAATCTAAAAGTAATGAGTTTTCACAGCTTTTGAAATGACAAGGTTCAAGGATCAAAAACATCATCGTCTCAAATCTGCCATTTATGAGGAAAGTCCTTGAATAAGGTGTTTACTTACAGCTTACTAGATTTATTATAATCAACAACTCATTTCACATGTTTCAGTCTGGCTTTAGACCCCACCACAGACTGAGACTGCTGTCGTCAAGGCAACAAACAATATCCAGCTTAGTGGTCCTCACAGAGACTGGGTGGTCCTCACAGAGACTAGAGGACTGGGTGGTCCTCACAGAGACTAGAGGACTGGGTGGTCCTCACAGAGAAGTACTTTGTGGAGATTGGAAACTGTGTCTCAGATCATATGGCCCTGACCTGTGGAGTACCACAGGGGTCGATCCTGGGACCTCTTCTGTTCAATCTCTACATGCTGCCGTTAGGTCAGTTAATACGCAGAAACAAAGTGTCCTATCACAACTATGCAGACGACACTCAGATCTATGTCTCACTGACTGCAGGAGAACATGGACCAGTGGACTCACTCCTTCACTGCATCACTGAGAGATGATAAACTGGTTCTCTGGTCTCTCATTAAACTCTCTAGTCCAGGCATGTCAAAGTCAAATACATCAGAGGGCCAAAAAAACTAATTTGCTGCGAGCCGAGGGCCGGAGTGGTTCAATGTTTAATAACTCATTGCCTACCAGCCCATTTCAGAACAGGTACTCCCATATTGCCAGCAGTTTCTGATGATTTTTATAGATTTTTCAAGACCCACCGAATATTGTGTACTATGACTATCTGAAATCCGAAACCAGATTCTGAAAGAATAGACTGTCTACTTTCATCAGCAAAAAGAATTTTGTTTCTAGCTGTTTTCAAACCATTCAGAGAGCGCTGCTGCCACCTGCTGGCTCGGAAAACGCAATTGACGTAATAGTGCGTCAATGGCAGGCAACGGGCCATGTAAAATTCATTTGCTGGCCGGATTTGGCCCGCGGGCCTTGACTTTGACACATGTGCTCTAGTCCCTCTCTCCGGTCTCTCCCTCAGAGAGACCGGAGAGAGCGACCACAGAGGATATCCTTTTCACTTTTCTGTCTGAACAACGGAGAGATAACAAAAACACATGCATGTGAAAATTAGTGCGTTCTAGTGTTAGATTGAAAGTTGCATAACTCTGTCTCTGCGTATCTTAGAGACTGTTGATGATTTTAAGTCCCAACTAAAGACGTATTTGTTTAGACAGGCTTTCTCGCCTCACTGTTCATAGGCCTCTGTGAATGTAAACTGTGCTTTTCTGTGTTCTGCTTTTATCTGATGCCGGGTTTTTTTCTGAGTAAAAAAAAAACCCACCAATCTGCCCTGAGCAGCAGCCAGACCAGGCTCCTGCCCTGGCTCCTTCTCCATCCTGATCCCTCGGTCCAACCGGTCTGGACCTTGGGGAGTATGACTCGTGCAACAGCCAACTTCTTCACCCAACACCGAGGATGGTCGGTGTTGGGTGAAGATCCACAAAGACATACCCATGTCTTGTTACCACGGCAACACAACACACACACACTACTGTGTGATGTCACTGCGACGGTAATGTCACTGAAGTTTGAAAAACTTTATTTAAACCAAACAAAACAATCCCAGACCAGAACCTTCTAGAATACCATAGAAGGCTGGTTGCCTAGCAACTGTAGGGTGACAAAAACCACTTTCAGCAGCCACAAACAGACGCCAAAAGAAAACTCCTTAATTCTATTCAGAAGACACAGGACAGTGAGCAGTGTCTTCCCCCACTGAGACAAGGATCAAAGACGTTTTGTGTATCCCTTCAGAGCATCAAAGACATTCCACGCCAGTCTCCCGACGAGGGGGGTTTGACAAACATCACATAGACTGTGGACTCTTAGGACTGTGATCCCTGATACACTGAGAACATTTAAACTCCAAAAATGTACACCTGCATTTCTGTTGTTGTCATTTATCTTTATTGAATTGTGAGTCACGATGTCTTTTGAAATGTATGTAATAAATAACCATTTTTTATTCATTAACATTGTTTAAATAGAAATGCGTTTATGTGTGAAAGAGCCGGAAACAGGAAGTGACCAACGGACACCCCCCCCCCGGAACCAAGGATACAAACACAAGAGCGCCGAGCTCAAGGCTTCTTGTCTTCCCCTCTCGTCTTGTCTGCTCGTCTGTGTTGCTCTTCTCCTCTGGGCTTCTTGTGCCCACGCTCCTGTAAAAATAACTCATCATACTTCTACAAATTAGAAAAAGGCCGGCAAAGAAAAAATGAAATAATTTCATTAATAATAAATGGTATAGAATGTTCTGACCCCAAACTAAAAGCAGGATAAATGTCTTCATTCTATTCTGTGTTATACAGATCTGGTTTTTCATCAACAGACGCAGATTTTTTTTAAATGAAATAAAAAATTATAACATTCCTAAACTAAAAAATGAATCTATCAAACCCTGTGACTCTAACATATCTCTAAATGAATTAGATAAAGCTGTTCAGAAAGTAAAACTAAACAAGTTCCCAGGTTCTGATGGCCTGACTTCAAACTTTTATAAGCATTTTTGGAATGAGTTAAGAGAAATGTTGCTGGAAGTATTTAGAGAATCAAGTGAAAAACAAAACCTTCCACCAACGATGAAACAAGGAGTAATAGTTCTTATACCAAAACCCGGGAAGGATAAAAAACGTATAGACAGGCTCATAGTCCAGGTTTATAATCCAGGCTCATAATCCAGGGTTTATAATCCAGGCTCATAATCCAGGTTTATAATCCAGGCTCATAATTTATCCAGGATCCAGGTTTATAATGAAGGTTTAGATCCAAGTTTAGATCCAGGTTCTGATCCATGTGTGACAGGTCTGGACAGAACTGGGTCAGGAAGTCTGAAAAATGTCCAATTATAGAAAGGACAGAAAAGTGCTGACGGGAGAATCTATTTGAGTCCTGGTTCAGACCTAGTTCAGACTTGGTTTAGTCCTGTTCAGACCTGATTCAGACCTGGCTTAGTCCTGGTTCAGACCTGGCTCAGTCCTGGCTCAGACCTGGCTCAGACCTGGCTCAGACCTGGCTCAGACCTGGCTCAGTCCTGGCTCAGACCTGGCTCAGACCTGGCTCAGACCTGGCTCAGACCTGGCTCAGACCTGGCTCAGACCTGGCTCAGACCTGGCTCAGACCTGGCTCAGACCTGGCTCAGTCCTGGCTCAGTCCTGGCTCAGACCTGGCTCAGACCTGGCTCAGACCTGGCTCAGACCTGGCTCAGACCTGGCTCAGACCTGGCTCAGACCTGGCTCAGTCCTGGCTCAGACCTGGCTCAGACCTGGCTCAGACCTGGCTCAGACCTGGCTCAGACCTGGTTCAGACCTGGTCCAGACCTGGGCCAGACCTGGTTCAGACCTGGTTCAGGATCTCTCAGTATAAAATGCATCAAACTTGCTTTGGTGTGTCGTGGGAGTCTTTGGAGCAAAGCGGTCCATGCAGCAGGTTATCTCCGGGTGCTACGGTTCAAAAACATCAAAAATTCATAAAAAGGTACAAGAGGAGACATGCTCGTTCTACAGCGAGAACCAGAGACCAGCTGGACATGCATAGACACAGAGACACCTGGTGGACAGGTGGAGCTACTGCAGTTAAAGCTGGGGTATCCGACTTTTGTTTCATAAATAACACATGAAGTTTGTCCGACAGAGTTTGGTAAAGACACAGGCTTCATCTCATTAGGAAACAAGTCCCTGTGGGCCACTATTTGACTCATAGGGACTTGGTAGAGAGTTAGTAAAACATGAGTTACCTGGTCCCTCTCTCTGGTCTTTCTCTCTGGTCTCTCTCTCTCTGGTCTCTCTCTTTGGTCTCTCTCTGGTCTCTCTCTGGTCCCTCTCTGGTCTCTCTCTCTGGTCTCTCTCTTTGGTCTCTCTCTTTGGTCTCTCTCTGGTCTATCTGCTCTCTCTCTCTGGTCTCTCTCTCTCTGTTCTCTCTCTTTGGTCTCTCTCGCTGGTCTCTCTCGCTGGTCTCTCTCTCGCTGGTCTCTCTCTCGCTGATCTCTCTCTCGCTGATCTCTCTCTCGCTGATCTCTCTCTCTGGTCTCTCTCTCTCTGGTCTCTATCGCTGGTCTCTCTTGCTGGTCTCTCTCCCTGGTCTTTCTCTCTGTGGTCTCTCTCTCTCTGGTCTCTCTCCAGTCTCTCTCTGTTCTCTCTCTCTCTGGTCTCTCTCTATGCTCTCACTCTCTCTGGTCTCTCTCTCTCTTTCTGAGGGTTTTACAGCCTTCTTACCTGCAGCTGCTACTGAGAGGATGTATCTTATTGTGTGTCATGTTTACAACACGTCACCCCTGTCTGAAAGTCACGTACCCCAGCTTTAACTCTGTACAATCAGAGTCTTGTGATCAGAGAGACATGTGACCTGAAGAGCCAGTGCAAAAAGTGAAGAGGAAGAGTCCATAAGGTTCTCATGGCTCCTCCCCCCCCTGACAGCGGAGTCCTTAAGGTTCTCACCTTCCCCAAATGCCCAGAGACTAGAGTTTTATAAGAGACGAGAAAGAACATCGCCACAGCAACTTGTACAACTGTTACTCATGTGGGACTGAGGCTGTAGATCCAGGACCGATGGCTTCTGTGTGTTTGTTATTATTGTGTCTGATTCTCTGATCTGCTGTTGGTGAATCAACAACTCCTCTGAGGCGACTGCTGATGTGATTTAGGGCCATACACAAATACCTCAGATTAAATATCATTTCAAACCAATTGTTTTGATGCCAATACTTAGTTATGTGGATGTTCAAACTGTCATGCCCTGACTGCAGCTCACAGCCCCTCCCTCCTGTGTGCCTCATAGCCCCCCCCCCCTCCTTGTGTTCCTCATAGCCCCTCCTCTCTGTGTGCCTCATAGCCCCTCCCCCCTGTGTGCCTCATAGCCCCTCCCCCTGTGTGCATCAGGAGTCACCGGTCTGGACACGGTGAAGATGTCCTGCTTCTCGCTCCCCCTGCCTGCTGCCCCTGGTACTGCGGCCTGGTCCTCTCTCTCTCCTTCTTGCCGCTCGTCAGACAGCAGCTGTATGATCATCTGCACCTGTGTCTCCAGCCGCCGCAGCCGACCTCCCAGCGCCTGTATGTCGGTGCGCAGCTGCAGCCGCGTCTCGTCCAGCGCCTCCTTTACCGTCTCCGTCTCGTCGATGCGCTGCTCGCTCTTGGTGATGCCGCTGTCGCACGAGTCAGTCTTTCGCAGATTTTTGCCGTCCGCCTCCTCGCTCGGCGCCGATGCTGATGGCGCTAACATCTCCGCGGACGCCGCCTTCTGATTGGTCAGAGGCGAGTCTCGCCGCGCTCCGTCTGCCGCACTGCCTTTGAGACGCATCCAGGCGCTGGGGGCTTTCGCTGGTTTAGATAAAGTCTGGATCACCGCCTCACTGTTGCTTTCTGCGGCTTTGTGTTTGTCGCTCTCTCTCTTGTTGGTTTCGCGTTTGCCAGTTTCTCTCAGTTTCTCTGGTTCTCTCTCGTCCTCTTGGAGCTTGTCTCTGTTGTCGGCGCTGTACTCTTGCATGGGGTGATCTGCGACACGGTGAGGATGTTGCTGGTGCCGTTCTGGAAGGATGTGCTCAGGGGGAGAGAGTGCTGTGAGCTGGAGTGACCAAGCTGCTGCAGGTTCTGGGTCTGGTGCGTCTCTGCGTCTGTGTAGCCGCCGTTGTTGCCGTTGTGCCGCGGCTTGAACTTGTAGAGGAGCCTGCGCACAGGGTGGTCCTGCGGGATGCTGAGCTGCACCTCGTTCTTGGCGCGCTCTCGCTCCTCCTCCTCCTTTCACAAGTCGCTGATGGATTCACGGTGACGTCAACATAAAAAGGAAAAGTTGAAACTACTCACAAGGCTCTTTCCTGGTACCATGCAACAGTTTTTTTCTAACAAAATGAAGACCACATATTAAACATGTCTCCTTTCACACTTCTATTTACTTTCTAAAATGCTCACCTGAGTCCTGGCCGAAGCAGCTGCTGGAAACCGTCCACCTCTTTGCTGCCCTCTCCTGGAACAAAACAGAACAGCGCCATGTATGATAGCCATCCATCCATTTTCTTCCCCTTAATCCATTTCTGGGTCGGGGGGGTGGCCAGAGATGCCACCCAGTTCACAGAGCACCAGCCCCTCACTGATCCTCCTGCAGGTGGTGAGTCCACAGGAGCTGAGATCTTTCAGTGGGAGCTTCAGGCAAAGTGGGGTTAAGTGTCTTGCCTAAGGACACAACAACAGCAGTCATCAGTGGGAGTCGTGAAGTAGGTCTTATGGTGGGCTTGAACCCACGACCTTCAGACTCAAAGGCCAATGCTCTACCAACTGAGCTACTGTCGCCCTCTCATGTGTTTTCTGCTTGAAATACCTAGAAACTTCAATCATTCTTTGAGTCCTGAAATTTAAACTCTCAACTTTATACTTTTAATAAAAACTATTCCCATTTTCGCCTCTTTACAGACTGTTAAAATCATGTTGCACAAGACAGTGCTAGTGTTTCCCAAAGAGCACAGACAAATACAGTATGGGGTGTCCAAACTTTCTTCATCAGGGGCCCTATATTCAAACAGACTAATGAACTGGGGCACCGAACTATAGTCTCACATCATACATGATGTTTGTCCCAACAGAAAAGAGTCATGTGACAGTGAAATGTTGTGAACAATCAGACCACAATGTGCTACCACCATATTATTAGAAAACAGTGTATCTTTTGCCCTGTCAATCACTATTTGACTCTTTGGGCTGGAGCTGATCGGCTGAATGAGGGAGGTCCTCTATTTTTCACCTTTTTACCAAGTATACATGCATGAGAAAACTAGTGATAGATATGAGAGTGAGAGAGGAACCAGAAAGAGAGACTTGAGAGGAACTAGAGAGAGAGACCTGAGAGGAACCAGAGAGAACCTTTATTAGTCCCACATTGGGGATGTTGCCGCGCTCATACAGGGCAGATGTAAGATCACACAAAGTAGCTGTAAATGCTTCATAAAAGCAGCAAGTAGTGATTTTCAGATAAGGCCCCGCGAAGAAATCAACACTTTCAGCCGAGTCTGCTGCTGGTACATGGACCAATACTTCATAGCAAATAATTTAGTCTATGACGCCACCCTGAGGCCAACATGTAAAATTGCTAAATTTCCATTGCAGCCTCACAAATGTATTTCAAGTCATGTGACAGATAGACCCATCATGAAACATAATATTTGAAAAGGACGCACTCATATAAAAAGAGAATTCAAGTATTTCCGTGTTCACGTTATTTGTGAGGATTTATCCAACTGTAGCAACAACTCTTCACCTGTGGCAACACACGAGCAGAAATCAACGGCACAAGATGTGCCTTCTATGTTTTTAATCAGTTCAGAACGATTGAAACGTCATGGCTGACGTCACCAAAAGCTTTGAGGCAGAAATAGCTATTGGGCATACGCGACACACGTCACAAGCAGTAAGATTTTAATCAGCACACGGGGAGAAATTCCACAATCTATTCTGCCAGAAGGGAGACTAGAGGGTTTCTAATATCACAATTTTCTTTGACCAGCAGAGGGGGTGCACCGTTCCTGGAGGTACTGCAATACCAGGTCGATGCGTGGAGTGGACGGAGCAAGCCCCTATTCCATCTCCCAGTTCCAAAAATCAATTTAATATATGGTCCCCGGGTAGGGGACGTATCAGATATTAAACTGATAAGAACAGATACTACACTTGATCTTAGCCAAAAGGCCGAGAAGCGATAACTACAAACTGTCCGCGGGAGGGAACCCTTTCTCCGCCAGGACGAGCTCAGTCACGGTGCAGAACTCTCCTCCCGAAACCTTTATTATTTTATTTCTTATAGAATTAAGAGTCAGATTATAGAAGACAATCTCATAATAGCACTCGCAAGTTAAATCTGCTATTAGCAATGGACATAGTGAAGATACATTCTGCGCCTGACATAGAGGGTGGAGCTAAACTTTAATGATCGCGAAAGCACAGATCACAAGTCAAATCGTTCCGCACATGTGGAGAAATTTGAGGATAGGGATGCCTTTACTGATCTCTGAGATACTGTCTTTGAATATACGGTTCTTATGTGCTGTATTACTTGTATCATGGTGCCAACCATCTGAACAGTTAAGATCTTGCTTCCGGTATGTTACGGGGATCTTTCACAGGGGGGCGCCGTGGTGCAGGACATTCAGCCTCGTTCTTTGTCTATCTTTAAAGATCCATGTGTAAACTGCAGTGATGTTTCTTGAAGAGGATGACGTGTGGAAAGGGACAGTGATAGAAAGATAGATAGATAGATAGATAGATAGATAGATAGATAGATAGATAGATAGATAGATAGATAGATAGATAGATAGATAGATAGATAGATAGATAGATAGATAGATAGATAGATAGATAGATAGATAGATAGATAGATAGATACTTTATTGTTGCCCTTTAGGAGAAATTCAGGTTAGATGTCCTAATGCTCATTAGGACAGCTAATTACCAATAGGTAAATTATGTTGGCTTTTTAAACAGTGTTATTCAGCTATTCCTCTTATCTGTGAATCCCAGTTAATAACAACTACTGCTGCAGGTTTACATGTTAGATCACATTTAATTGGGTGAAAGTTGCTTATTTTATGGCGTTGCAGGCTGTGCTATAACGGTTGTTTCTAATTACGCTAAACTGAGATTGTAAACCCGCTCATTTACTTTTACTGTTGGTAAAAAAAACACATCCTCAAGACATTGTAAAACAAAGACATATTCTCAATGTGTCTCTTTTCCTCCAACTCTAGTTCAACATTTTGTGTCAATTTCAAATGTTTCATATACACAACATAAAAATTGTGATTAATACGGTGCGAGTATACTGTAATTTTCAACACCTCATTAAATCCCCAAGTGCCTACAACAATCGTCTATCTGCTACGTTACAACATAAAACCTGCGACTTATATGCAGGTGCGGCCAGAATGTGGGCAGCATTGATTTTCTTTTCAGATATATGTGGTGCAGCTTATATACAGGTGCTTCTCATAGTCCAGAAAGATTGGAGCCGACAGATCTGTGGACGCAGATTCAAAACAAGAATGTTAAGTTATATATCCTGTGTGTTGGCTGTATATATCCTGTGTGGTGGCTGTATATATCCTGTGTGGTGGCTGTATATGTCCTGTGTGGTGGCTGTATATATCCTGTGTGTTGGCTGTATATATCCTGTGTGGTGGCTGTATATGTCCTGTGTGTTGGCTGTATATATCCTGTGTGGTGACTGTATATGTCCTGTGTGGTGACTGTATATGTCCTGTGTGTTGGCTGTATATGTCCTGTGTGGTGACTGTATATGTCCTGTGTGTTGGCTGTATATGTCCTGTGTGGTGACTGTATATGTCCTGTGTGTTGGCTGTATATATCTTTTTTGTTGGCTGTATATGTCCTGTGTGGTGGCTGTATATATCCTGTGTGGTGGCTGTATATGTCCTGTGTGGTGGCTGTATATATCCTGTGTTGGCTGTATATATTGTGTGTGGTGGCTGTATATATCCTGTGTGGTGGCTGTATATATCCTGTGTGGTGGTTGTATATATCCTGTGTGGTGGTTGTATATATCCTGTGTGGTGGCTGTATATGTCCTGTGTGGTGGCTGTATATATCCTGTGTTGGCTGTATATATTGTGTGTGGTGGCTGTATATATCCTGCGTGATGGCTGTATATATCCTGTGTGTTGGCTGTATATATCCTGTGTGGTGGCTGTATATGTCCTGTGTGGTGGCTGTATATGTCCTGTGTGGTGGCTGTATATATCCTGTGTGTTGGCTGTATATATCCTGTGTGGTGGCTGTATATGTCCTGTGTGTTGGCTGTATATATCCTGTGTGGTGACTGTATATGTCCTGTGTGGTGATATGTCCTGTGTGGTGACTGTATATATCCTGTGTGTTGGCTGTATATATCTTTTTTGTTGGCTGTATATGTCCTGTGTGGTGGCTGTATATATCCTGTGTGTTGGCTGTATATATCCAGTGTGGTGGCTGTATATATCCTGTGTGGTGGCTGTATATATCCTGTGTGTTGGCTGTATATATTTTTTTGTTGGCTGTATATGTCCTGTGTGTTGGCTGTATATATCCAGTGTGGTGGCTGTATATGTCCTGTGTGGTGGCTGTATATATCCTGTGTGTTGGCTGTATATATTTTTTTGTTGGCTGTATATGTCCTGTGTGGTGGCTGTATATATCCTGTGTGGTGGCTGTATATCTGTATATATCCTGTGTGTTGGCTGTATATATCCTGTGTGGTGGCTGTATATCAGATTCAGATTCAGATTCATTTTATTGGCCATGTGCAGTAAAACTACATTGGAAATACATGCAAAAAGAGGTACTCTGTGTGCACCGACAGAATAAAAAGCACGATACAATGTAATATAAATACACATACACTGAATATAAAATAATAAATAATAAAAAAAACAGCTGACACTGTGGCACCGATCGACAAAACAATACAAGGGGTAAAAGCAGTTTAAAAGCAGGTAAAAGCAGGAATTAAAATGCTCTGTTTAGGCACCTAACAGCCTGTGGAAAGAAGCTGTTAGCATAGCGAGATGTCTTGCATCTCAGTGACCGGTATCTTCTGCCAGAGGGAAGAAGCTGGAACATGGCTTTCCCAGGGTGGCCAGAAGAGTCACCGATGATTTTAAGAGCTTTGTTTAAAAGTCTGGATTTGTAAAGAACCTCCAGAACAGGAAGCTCACAGCCCACGGTCCTCTTTGCAGAGCGGAGCACCTTGTTTAAAGCTCTCTTTTCTTTATCTGTGATGTTTCCAAACCACACAGACACAGAACCAACAAGTAAACTCTCAATGGTGCAGCGATAAAAGTTCAGCAGAATCTAAGAGTTAGTGGTAAATTCTCTAAGTTTCCGCAGGAAGTAAAGACGCTGACGGGCTTTCTTTACGACCCGGTCAGTGTTTTTAGCCCATTTCAGGTCGTTAGACAGAGTTAAGCCCAGGAACTTGCACTCCTCTACGATCTGCACCTGGGAGTTGTCAATAACAACAGGAGTGTGAGAACTGCTATGACTGAAGTCAAAGACAAGTTCACATGTTTTTGCAGTGTTCAGCTGGAGATTGTTTACTTTACTCCACTGAAAAACATGTTCGATCTCTGCTCTATAAGAGGAATCATCATTGTCACTGATGAGACCGATGATGGTGGTGTCATCAGCATATTTGATGATCAGATTTGAGTCAGAGGAGGACACACAATCGTGAGTGTACAAAGTAAAAAGCAGGGGACTCAAAATACATCCCTGAGGAGAACCAGTGCTCACAGAAACAACATCAGAAAAACAGTCATTGATTTTTACTCTCTGAGATCTGTCAGTTAAAAAGCTAAAAATCCATTTACACATGGCAACATTCAGACCAAGGGACATTAGTTTTTCAACCAATATGCTTGGGACAAGACAATTAAAAGCAGAGCTATAATCAATGAACAGCATTCTCGCGACAGATTTACTAGTGTCCAAATGAGTGTAGACAGAGTTCAGAGCAAAGGAGATGGCATCCTCCACACTCCTGTTCTGTCTGTAAGCAAACTGGAGCGGGTCAACACTCACAGGGATCTGGCTCTTAATAAACTCCAGCACGAGCCGCTCAAAAGTCTTCATAAGAACAGACGTGAGAGCCACAGGGCGGTAGTCATTGAGACATGTCACTGGAGACTTCTTAGGAACTGGAATAATGGTGGACCTTTTAAAGCTCACCGGCACCGTACAGCTCCCGAGTGACAAGTTAAAAATGTCCGTTAAAACAGGGGCAAGTTGCTCGGAGCACAGTTGGCTGTATATGTCCTGTGTGTTGGCTGTATATGTCCTGTGTGGTGGCTGTATATATCCTGTGTGTTGGCTGTATATATCCTGTGTGGTGGCTGTATATGTCATGTGTGTTGGCTGTATATATCCTGTGTGTTGGCTGTATATGTCCTGTGTGGTGGCTGTATATATCCTGTGTGTTGGCTGTATATATCCTGTGTGGTGGCTGTATATGTCATGTGTGTTGGCTGTATATATCCTGTGTGTTGGCTGTATA